TTACCTGCCATGGACTCTTTCATAAGTTCCATGAAATCGTCTTCGGACAATCCGGGGAAAAGTACAATGTCAGTAAGTATTCTTTTAACATCCTTACTTAAACTCTTTGCTGTCTGTACACAAATGACAACTGAGATGTTAAAGTGTCTGAGCTTCTTAAGAATTCGACACATATCTTGTTCTCTGTTCTTTAACAAAGGATGAGAGGCGAAATCATCTAAGATAAGAAGACATCTGTGAGGGTAAGTCTTCCAATCGTAAGATTGCAATTTCTTCGAAATGTATTCTATCTCTTTCTGTTTGTTTCTGAAGTGTTTCTTCTCTAATATTCTCTGCATTTCCTCATTTGGGTCTTTAAACTTAGAATTGACATACTCATTTATAGCATTGTACTTCAAAACTCTTCTTTGGTACTTCTTTATCCAATCTAACAACTCAGAGTCTTTTATACATACTAACTTAGACTTTTTTATAATATCTTTGAACGAATTGACGGTTTGGTCAAATTGACCAGAAGTACTACAAATAACAACTAACTCATAGAATGGGTTCTTCTCATCTAGTTCTTGTTGTTGTGCAGCCATTTTAAGATAAGTGAAAGTCTTACCCGACCCAGGTGGTGCAATTAGACCTGTTATACCATTCTGAGCAAATAGGAACTTGTCATGTATGGGTTTTATCTGAGCATTTTCCAACTTCCTCTTGTTCTTGTTTAAAACATTCTCAAATTTCTTGTCAATGTCAGCAAACTTTTTTTCTAACATATTTTTAGAAAAATTAAAAATTTTATCTTTTAGGAAATGTCTAGCGATTTCGCTATCTATATTCGAGACAAGCTTTTCGACAGCAAAACATCTGTCGACCATAAAATCTTACATAGTGTAAACAAGAAAGGTGAATTTGTTCTAAAGTTCTGTTTCTGGGAATATGACAAGAACCATAAAACATTAAGCAGAGCAGTCTTAAAATTTGTCAATGACAGACTTGTTGACAGAGATGACGCCTCTTGGAGAGATGAAGTCCAACAAAAGTTCTTAGAATGCAAAGAAGACACATGCGCTGTTCTTGAAGATGAAATAGAAAACAGAATAGATGAGCTATTAAAGGACAAAGAACTTTTACATAAATATGGTTGCGCCAAATTTGACATAACTCCACCAGAGAAGAAGAAGAAGAGAGAAAGAAAGAAAGAAAGTAGAAGAAAAGAAAGTAGAAGAAGAGAAGAAAGAACCAGAGCCAGTTCCAGAGAAAAAGAAATTTGACATGTAAAAATAAAATTTTATTTTTAGAACATTTCTGGGTCAATGTCAATGTTCTCTTCCTCTTTAGGAGCAAACACTGGCTTAGACTCTAAAATCTTTTTACCCAATTTACCTTGAACTTCTACAACTTTAGACTCATAATATTCATAGTCGTCTGTCTTCTTTGGTTCATAAGGTATAACAAGTTTGTATGCTTTGCCTTCTTTAAGGTTTGAGAACCTTCTGTCAAAATTTTCTTTGACTGTTAACAAACCTTCTATGTCTAAGTCTTCAAATTTCGCACCATTTTTAGTCACAATAGCAAACTTAACTGGTTCGATGTTCCAAACTTTGTCAAATGTAGACTTTTCAAAATGGTAGAAGTAAACATTCAAATATGCGAATGGGTCTAGTTCTTCTTTGACTTCTGTCATGTACTTGTTTACTGAGATGAATTTTGCCATCTTTTCTATCGGATAAAAAAATATTTTTTTAAAATTTACTCAGAAAAATTTTTCTTTGTATATACGCCGTTCTGAACATCTAAAAGATTTTTGACATTTGCCAAGAATGTTCGTTTAGACGCTGTCATATAACCATACTCTTGGCAATATTGTTTATATTCATCGTACAATGACCTTTCATCTAAACACTCAAAGTCGCTTTCTTCTATAAACAGTTCATATACACTCTTGTTTGCTTCTAACAATGTTTGTCTCTCTTCGGTATGTGGAATTTGTCTTGGATTGAACTTAGAAATATCTAATGTCATAAAATATGAGAACAAGTGGTTGTAAAAGTCAGATGTCAAAGTTTCTGACAAAGCGTCAAAATATTCTGTATCTTGCATATGAGAATCTGACGTTCTGACAACTACATATCTTCTGTCAGAACTTTCTAACTTCATCGGAACGGCGTTGTTTGAAACCATAATGAAATTTGCAACATTTTCACAAACTCTTTGGTCTTTATATTTTCTTTCAACAACTCCAACTTTGTCTGTTATAAGACTCTTCAAAGCATCTGAGTTTAAAACCTTTGTTGTATCTATACTTTGAAGTTCGTTACATACTATAAGTTTCATATTCTCTATTGAGGAGTTAAATTTACCGCAGATGTTTTCTAAGTTTGTCATATTCGGGTTCGAATAGCCCTCTAACAGTTTGCACAAAATATCTGTAAAGAAAGTGTTCTTACCTGTTCCTTGTTTTCCAATTACAATGAGAGCAGTTTCATTTTTAGCACTTGGATGTTGTAAGATGTTTGCAAACCAACATAAGATATACTCATAGACTCTTTCGTTTCCATTGCATATAATTTCTTTGACATGGTCTAACCAAGCTTCTATAACATTTTCTTTCCATTCTACTTGTTCATATTTATATCCAGTGAAGATAGAATAGAAGTTTGGAGATGGTGTATAGAACTTTATACCACGAACTGAAAAATCTTCTAACTTTGACAATAAGATATCCCAAGCATCTAACATCTTCATGCCAACTTGTACAACTTTTATTTTCTTAAGTTTCTGTCTACATTCTTGTTCTGAAACTATTGTTGCTCTTGGTTTGTTAAAGACTACATCCCATTCTTTCATGACATAACATTCTGGGGCAGAGTCAACATAAATGACTAAACGTTTCAAATTCTCGACTGCTTTGTTATAGTCTCTAAATGGACACATATTTCTGAAGGCTTGGAAGTCATAAAAATCTGAAACATCTATTCTGTACATTTTTATAAAAATAAAAAAAATATTTTTTTTATTCTTGACTTTGTTGTTGCATTTGTTCCATTTGTTGCATTTGTTGTTGAAGTTGTTCTTGTAGTACAATACTTTCACCAGTTGCATCTTCCAATTCGAAACTTTCTGCCGTCATTGACAAATACATAGGACATAAAAGTTTTACAGGAACAAAGTTTGCGTCAACTAAGGTTAAGTTTATGTTTGCTAAAGTGTTTGAGTTCACTAAAGCTGAAAACTCTGCATTCGAATGAACAATAGGCAAACCAGCAGAGAAAGTGTTGTTTATACGCATGAGTATCTTTTGGTCATAGTAGTTTCTGTCGACATTCGAATAACACTTTGAACCTAAGTTTGAAACAATATATAAAATAGGTGTGCTTAAAGTCAATGGAACAGATAGACCTTGTATGACACCTTTTCCTGTTATAGGAAACTGTTGGTAGTAAAAACCAGATATAAGTTTTGTATTATAGCTCATATCGTTTATACTAAACTCAGTCGGACATCCAAACATAATGAAACCTGCTCTAGTTGCAGCACATGTTACATCCGTCCTTAAAGTATTAAATAAGTCAACAAAACCTGTTGGTGGTATATCTGAGTAAGTATCTTCAAAGAAGTATTTTTTACCATTCACAACAACAAAGTCTTCTGGTGTCAAAAGAGCAAAACAGGCTTTAGTCGTCATTGTGTTTAAGGTTAGTTTACAATATCGTCCTTGAGGACTTTGTAAGTTTGTTGTTATAGAATTATATGACTCAGGGTTTTTAGTCGTAATAGTATAAACCACTATGTCTTCTGCCATTTACTTAGCAAATAAATTTTAATGAAATGTTGTGGTCGTCAAATATTTTTATAACGTCTGGGAAACTATATTTTAAGTTCAACGTCTCACCTCCTTTCATAACGTATATCTTGTCAATGACATTATATGAAACACCACAGCAAGCAATGTCGGGTTCTATTTCTTTGATGTTTATATCGTCTGCCTCTGTCAAAAGTTTCAATAGTTCTTTCAAAACTTCATGAGGTGCGATGACATATGAGTTCACTTTTACAGGGTTGTGCTCGACCAAGTTTAACATTATACCCAAAGCTTGACAAATCTTCTCCTGAGTTTGAAGTTTGTCTTTCAGTTGTTGGTAGTCGTTTCGAATATCTGCAACAGAACTTAAGTCTCTGCTAACTTCAGGATATGTTGGTTGTTCTTTTACAGGAACAATTGTTATACCATCTTCGTCTTCGTATGGTTTCCCCACTTCAACATCTCTTTCTTTGACATTGACAACAACACTTTGACTGTTTGTTTGAGTTGGTGAATTTAACTTCACATCTGCCATCGCCATTAAACCTTTTGAAACACTTACGCTTCTATTTTTCGGAAATGACATTTTACTTAGAATAAAAAGATGGACGTATTTGAGTATCTCTTCGAATTGAAGCAAAACAAAGTTTACACACACAAACAATACAAATACATTGACAGAATAGTTCTTTACACAAACAATGGAAAATGTTATAGAATAGCAGTCTTTGCTGAACCAAAATATTTTCATAAAGCAAAGAAAGTTGGTATAACCGAGATGGTGAAAGTTCTTGAAGCAGACAAAAATATAACAACAAAACTTACAGATATTTCTAAAGGAAAGTTTTTAATACAATACTATGTTAAGACTGGCGTACTGTCAATATTTGACGGAGAGAAGTCAGTTCAAGAACAACTTACTGACCTGCTGCCAAAATCTGCTCGATGGAAGCTGTCGTTATACCAATCTGAGGAGCCCCAGCAGGTTTCATCGAACGAATTTTCAAAAGAGCATCTTCCGTGAAAAGTGCTATTGGTTTTGTAAACTTCTTTGCTCTCAGTTCATCTGGACCGTCTCTGTCACCAGTATATTGTATTTGAACTGTACCAACAGTTGAAATACCACCCATAAAGTCTTCTGAGTCAGCAAATGGAATGCCAAGCCAAAAGTTTGAACGGTCTCCATTTGTATATTGAGTTTTTTGACCTCCTGTATGAGTCCATACTTTCACATATGGCATAATAGAACTTTGCATTTCAGGGTTAATGGTTGTTGTGAAGTTGTTGTTAAAGTTCATAGCATCTAATGTCAAGTTGTATGACCTCATATCCTCAACTGTAGAATATTCTTCTCTTGGATAGTATTTGCCATCTATGTTTATATGATATTTAATACCGGGGTTGTAGAAACAAGAATAGTCATTTATAGTTCGTCTGAACAGTACAAACATAGTATCTGCATGTTTCATTGCAGTTGTTAAGGCAATATCTGTTCTTGCACCTGGGTCAGCACTTTGGTTTCCAACTTCACCTGCAAAGTCTTTGACAGATATTTGGTGTATAGGGAACATAAGTGGAACTGCAATATATTTGGCAGCTAAAGCATTTGAAATATCTGGGTCCAACATATAGACTGCAAGTCTGCTTTCTATTCTCTTGCATTCAAATTTTTCGCATGTGAACTTAACTGGGTCCCAAGCATCTCCAGCAGCATTGAAATAATAGTTTACTTCAGTGTTGAGGTTTGAGAAACCAAAGTCTAAGTCAACTTTGTTTTTGCAAAAGTCGGCGAATGACATTTTATTTGTTCCCACTACTTCTGTAAGAGTGAATGGGTCTTGTGTTGGTGCAATGACTAAGTTATTTTTGCTTGGAGTAAGTTCGATAGAAATTTTTCCTGCCCAGTTTGGCAAGTATCTTAAAAACCTGAAGATGAGGAAAGATGACAAAGGAACTCTAAGTTTCAATTTTACTTTGGTTACTGCTGCTGCATTTTGTCCAGAAAGGTTAACATAAACTCCTGGAACGTTAGGGTCAAGTCTTCTTATTTTCTCAATAGTTGCATACTGGTCTGTTTGTTCTCTCGCTTGTGGTTGTACTGAGTTTCTCAAAGCGAACCATTCATAGTTTGCCCATGTTACTGTTTGAACTAAGTCAGAGTTAGAATATATCTTATATCCCATGAAAACTTCTGGAGCATATTGGTATCCGACATAGAAAATTCCATTGCAACCTTTCTTGTCAGACAACTTGGCAGAAGGTTTTATTTCAATGTCTTGTTCCACGTATAAGAAAGAGTTGTCAATAGAAATTATATGAAACCTGTCGCAAGCAATATCTACTGTTGTTGAAGAACCTTCTCCAAACTCACCTACGTTTCCATAAGAAACAGCAGTTGTATATTCGTAAGTTCCAGGAACTATTTCTGACCTTCTAATGGCATTGTCGCATTCGTTATACCATTCGGAAACATTTCCATTCATAGCATCCAAAACTGTTGGCGTTATATTCTGAGCGGCGTACATTTCATATGAGTAAAAATATAGAATAGTTGGATTTATATGTCATAATAGAACCCACGTGGACCAAGCTTTACTTTCTTCCTGACTGAGTTTTTAACTCTTCTTTTTCCTTCATTGCCACTACTTTCACTAGATGAAGTTACTTCTTCACTACTTTCACTTTGTTCTACTCTTCTTCTTTGGTGTCGCTTTGGTAACTTGCCCTCTGCTTCAAGTTGTTGCATCTTTGCATTATGTTCATCTAGTATGTTGCAAATTTCCCATGTCCTTTTTGCCTTTGGCTCTGGTCGCCCATCTCAGGTAACCTATTCCTAGAAAGAGTTTGTCATAGTTTGTATTTGAGTCTTCGCGTATTGTTTGCATGACTCTTTCCTGAGTTTCCGGTTCAAGCTCTTCAAACAGTGCCTGTCCATATGGAATATGCTCGTTTCCAAATATATGTTTTTTGTAGCCATTCTGGTTTTCTTTCCATGTTACCAACTATATCTTTTGTGAATGGGAAAGCTTTTACCCAATCTTTCAGTCTTTCGTCATTTATTTCTGTAGTTGGTTTTATTTTTGTCAAGGAACATGTTTTTCAATACTAACATTTCATTTGGTACTGTCCATTTGAGTTTTCTTAAATATTCATCCCTTCTCAGTTCATTGTCTGCAAAGTAAGTTTTATGACATTTTGTAAACTTTCGTTTGCAAGGTCATGTACAATAGGTTCTCTTCCTTCTCCCTCCCTAACTTTCTTTCTAAACTCTTCACCAAATATACCATCTCTATGGTTCTGTGTAGTTCTTTGAGATAAATGTTCTAGAACGTCAGGTGTTATATTTCCATCAGCCATGTTCATTTCATACTGGTTCAAAATATCTGCATCTTTCATATCTTTCAATGGCATTAAAGCCGCGCTGAAAATACCAGCTATATCTGGTTCACCATTGACTTCCATTGCGTCTACAACTTCTTGGAATTGTGGTTGTAAGTTTATGAACCACCTATCCGGGTTAGCTTTATGACCCCATCTCATTGTAGTTCCATCGTCTGCAGAAACAAAAGTAGGTTTGTTTCCATCTTGGTTAGGTTCTGAATGAACTTTAAACAATGTTTCATTTCTATATGTTTTCTTGAAATTTAACCTTTTATTTTCACCGAGTTCATCCGAAGATTGAACGTTAAATGCTCGTAAGTAAAAAGGGTTGTTGTATTTGTGTACATTTTCTTTCAGTACTTCCATTCTATGCTGAATATTTTCATCTGGTGTTGGAGTCTTTTGTATGTCGGCAAACATTTTCGATATTCTTCTACTATGTCAGCCGAATTTTTTTTAGACTCTTGGAAATATTCCATATTCTCCGCATACTCTTGTTGAGGGTCAAGATTTTTCGGCTGTTCCAAATCTTCATCTAGTTCTGTGAAGTTAGTTTCCAAAGGAAGGACTTGTTCGTTTCCTTCAGGCTCTTCTAGCTGTTGTGTTGCTGAACTATTTCTTCCATGTCTGGTTGTATCTGAACTTCTTCCTGTGGAGTTTTCTTGTACCTCATCTGCTGGCATTTCATATATTCCGAGACCGTTTTCAACAATTTCCCTATCTACGTCATCCGCATTCATAAGCTTTTGTTCTTTCGTTCCGTCTCTATTTTTTACGCGTTTCATGACGAAAGTTGAATTGTCATTTAGCTCTGACATCAAATATCTCGGAGTAAATTCATCCATGTCATTGGATGATATGCTATTAAATCATATCCCTTAGCGAGCTTGTATTTTCCAGGTTTGAGATTATATCCGTTTTGGTGCTGAGCCATAAAGCTAAATAGGTTCGGGTCAGTATTTCCATCCTTGAACTTTCCAATAGCTTCTTTATATCTGTCACTAAAGTCAATACTATCTGGGAAACCACACTCTTCTTTAAGCATTTTTAAGAATTCTTGGTTTCCTTGTTCTCTACTTCTTTATGTCCTTGCTCTGTTTGTGGTTGTTGCTGTGCAGTGTTTTGAACTGTTGGTTGTGGTGCAGTGTTTTTGAACTGTTGGTTGTGGCTGCAGTTTTGAACTGTTGGTTGTTGTGCAGTGTTTTGAACTGTTGGTTGTTGTGTTGGTTGTTGTGTTGGTTTTGGTGCATGCCTGTGTCTGTGTCCATGTGACGATGTAAATGTTTAGGTAGTCCTGGTGCAGGTGCTTCTCTTGGAGGGTTTGGTGGTATATAAGTTCCACTAGCTAGTATATAAGTTCCACCAGCTGGTATATAAGTTCCACCAGCTGGCACATATGTTCCATCTGCAGCATAATGTCCTACCTGACTTTTCGTTTTAAGAAAGCATTTACTAGGTCTGTTTTGGTCTGTTGTAACTCTTTTTCTTGACTTTCCACAACAGTTGCTCTAACGGCGTCATAGGCACTTTGAACTGCCTGTCTCGTTGCTGCATCTGTTATTTTCGTCATATTTTGTGCTACTTCTCTTAACTCGTTGTCGAAACCTTCAGACTTCAGTTTCTTTCCAGATGAGAAGTCGTTCACTTGTTTCACCTTACTATGAAGAGCTTCGAAAGCGTTCTTAAAGTCAGCATTTGTTAAAGCTTCATTTGAACTGTCTTCATCCGCTTGTATTTTTGTCCTTATTGACCCTATAAGCTGGGCTGCTTTAGCGTTGGCTTGGGCATCTAACCAGTCATTGTTAGCTTTTATATATTCTGCGCTTTTCATTGCCTTTTGCATGGCTGCGTCGTTATTTTTACTTTCTTGTGCTAAGTTTTCATACTGTACGGTTTGGTTTTGCAACTGTAAAAGTTTTTCTGCCTTTACATTTGCTTCAACTTCTTTTTTATACTCATCGCTATCCATATATGTCTTCAGGGCTTTTTGTTTTATTCTTCATCTTTCAGTACTTTATATTGAGTAGTATGGTTTTTCAAATTTACAACATCTTGTTCCATTTTTGCTACTTCTGCTGCTTTTTCTGACACTTTTTTCGCATATTCCTCTGTACTTAGTTCTTTCAGTTGTTCTTCTTTCTTCTTTTTCTCTACGTTTAACTCATTGAGTTTCTTTGTGTGTCTGTCATATTCTAGTTTCTTTTCGTTTTCACTTATTTGCTTCTGTATGTCTATGTTTGACTTTTTGACATCTGTTATTTGATTTTTGAGTGAACTCAAATTCATTTGACTTTGAGGGTTATATGCTGTTCCGTCTGCAGCTCCACCATAGCCTGCCATTTTCGCTAAAAGTGCCGCTCTTAAACCTCCACTCTGTGCACCAACAACTCGGTTTAAAAGCATAGGATTGCTTGACATTTGTTGCAACATAGTGGGGTCATTCAGCATTTGTTGTTGCAACTGTTGTTGTGGTGTTAGTTTTACTATTGGATGTTTCAATGCTCTCTTCCTCTTACGTATATTCTTACGTAGCTTACGTGGCATTTTAAGTGAAGTTAAAAAGCGGCTTTTGACAGATGTTTATTGTGACTTCTTCGTAAAGACTTTGTCAAGATTTCTTCGTAAATGAGTGTAAATGACCCAAAAATATATTTTAGGGTAGAAGGGTAGATCTAACCTCTTTTCTACCCTCATTTCTACCCTCTTGAATTTTCATGAATTTTACACCAAAAATATATTTTAGGTGAAGAGGTGAGATTTCACCTCTTTTTTCACCTCATTTCTCACCTCTTGAATTTTCATGAATTTCTTCGTAAAGACTTTGTTGAGATTTCTTCATCTAATTTCTCATGAACTTTCTTGTCTATGTTTTGTCAAGATTTCATCGTAAAGACTTTGTTGAGATTTCTTCGTAAATGACCCTAGTAGTATATTTTTGGTGTAAATTTCATGAAAATTCAAGAGGGTGAAAAATTAGGTGAAAAAACAGGTGAAATCTCACCTCTTCACCTAAACATTATTTTTGGTGTAAAATTCAAGAGGGTGAAAAATTAGGTGAAAAAACAGGTGAAATCTCACCTCTTCACCTAAAATATATTTTTGGTGTAAATTTCATGAAAATTCAAGAGGTGAGAAATGAGGTGAAAAAACAGGTGAAATCTCACCTCTTCACCTAAACATTATTTTTGTCTGATTTTACGAAGAAGTCTTGACAAAACATTTACGAAGAAGTCTTGACAAAACATTTACGAAGAAGTCTTGACAAAACATTTACGAAGAAGTCTTGACAAAACATTTACGAAGAAGTCTTGACAAAACATTTACGAAGAAGTCTTGACAAAACATTTACGAAGAAGTCTTGACAAAACATTTACGAAGAAGTCTTGACAAAACATTTACGAAGAAGTCTTGACAAAACATTTACGAAGAAGTCTTGACAAAACATTTACGAAGAAGTCTTGACAAAACATTTACGAAGAAGTCTTGACAAAACATTTACGAAGAAGTCTTGACAAAACATTTACGAAGAAGTCTTGACAAAACATTTACGAAGAAGTCATGACAAAACATTTACGAAGAAGTCTTGACAAAACATTTACGAAGAAGTCTTGACAAAACATTTACGAAGAAGTCTTGACAAAACATTTACGAAGAAGTCTTGACAAAACATTTACGAAGAAGTCTTGACAAAACATTTACGAAGAAGTCTTGACAAAACATTTACGAAGAAGTCATGACAAAACATTTACGAAGAAGTCTTGACAAAACATTTACGAAGAAGTCTTGACAAAACATTTACGAAGAAGTCTTGACAAAACATTTACGAAGAAGTCTTGACAAAACATTTACGAAGAAGTCTTGACAAAACATTTACGAAGAAGTCTTGACAAAACATTTACGAAGAAGTCTTGACAAAACATTTACGAAGAAGTCATGACAAAACATTTACGAAGAAGTCTTGACAAAACATTTACGAAGAAGTCTTGACAAAACATTTACGAAGAAGTCTTGACAAAACATTTACGAAGAAGTCTTGACAAAACATTTACGAAGAAGTCTTGACAAAACATTTACGAAGAAGTCTTGACAAAACATTTACGAAGAAGTCTTGACAAAACATTTACGAAGAAGTCTTGACAAAACATGAAAACATATATAATTTGTGAAAAGCGACACATTATATATAATGTTTTCGACCCAGAAGACTAACAATTTTCCGAATAAAAAACTTCATTAATATTAAACATCTTCAGGGCTAGAAGGCACGAAGTGCCTGGAAGCCCCACTACCTTTTTTTTTTTTTTTTTTTTTTTTTTTTTTTTTTCATACTAATATTGTGATGCATGTAGTTTATATTTAAAGAGGCTAATGTCGGAATATCGTGCATTTTATAAAAAATTCAAAGAATTGACAATTGGATAGCACAAATTTAATTCTCCAGACAAAGTATTATTGTTTATATATTCAAAACATTATCCTTAGTTTTGAAATGTTGGCAAAAAATTTTCGTGTTATTTTTTGTGTTTCAGCATAAATTATGTATTTACTTATGAAAGATAAGCATTTTATTCATTATCATAAAGATATACCATAACAAATTGATAACATTTAAAAAAAAGTGTATTTTAGTGGGTATTATTCTGGCCAATGCCCATTTTTAAACGATTTAATATTGACCATATCAATAGCCGACTCAATGTAAAAATTTAGATATTATTTTTTTCATTATTCAAACTTTGATAAATTTTAGTATAATAAATGATTTTGTTTCGTGTATGATACAGAAATGAAAAGCTTAATTAATATCATTTTGCATTTTTTCAAGAATGTTAGAGTACATCTACATTAAAAAATCGGATTCGAATTGCGATACTGCATCAAATTGTTGCACATCCGATAAGGATCTCAAAAGAGTAAAGTTAATTTTTTTGTGTTTTTTAAGTTTTGGGTCTTAGTAAAACACCATCTTGAGCAATATTTTTGGGATGACGATAGGCCTTATTTGGCCTTAGAGTGGACCCTTAACTTGATGATGAAATCAAATTCAATTTTCCTAAATAATGAGGCGAAAGCATCAGATTTGCTTTTTAATGTGCAAAAATATGCTAAATTCCTACAAAAATCTCAATCTTATAATATCGTTAATCTTAATTTCAAAAATCAATAAACTTATTTTGATTAATTTGATATTTTCATTAAATGGATATGGGAAGACATTTTCTCAAGTCTTATAAAATTGAATATTCACTCAAAATTGAATGTCACTTTTGAAAAATCTAATCCATCATTATTAAAATGCAATGATAAACTACAAGATATTGCTTAAATATTATCATTTATATAAAAACTATCAAACTATTCAAAAAATTTTTTATTTGCTATTTATGAACATAATATGAATATACATTCATATGCTGTTAACAACTTTTGAATACTTGTTGTTTATGCTTTTCAATTCCCTGAACAATATATTATTGACAAATTGCAAATAACGATATACTTTTATTTCCAATTGTTGTTGTCTATCGTTATAAAATTTTTGAGAGCTAGATATTTTATTCTGCTATTCCTATTCCATTAAATTTCATAAAATTTTAACCCAAATATAATTTATGAAATTTTGAAAGCCTCTCATTTTTTTCAATTGAATATTAAAAATAAATGAATGCAAGAGATGAGTCATATATAAAGCTAAAATCTTTGGAGTTCCGGGAAGTTATAGGTGCAGGAGGTAATGGAGTCGTTTATAAAGTTTATGACCCAATGTATCAACGAGAGTTTGCTTTAAAATCGATTTTCGAAAAAAAATTCAGACAAAACGAAATTGATTGCATGAAACAAGTAGACGATCCGAATATAATCCGCCTTTATGGATATGATTATTATGATGGATCTGTCTACTTGCTCATGGAATACTGCCCTATATCTTTAGGTGGATTTTTACGAAAGAATCCAAACTTAACAGATGAACAAATCAAAAAGTATTCAATCGGTATTCTTAAAGCAGTGCGCGCTTGCCATCGCTGCAACATAGCCCATTTAGATATAAAACCGGGTAATTTTTTGATCGATGAATACGATAGAATTAGAGTTTGCGATTTTGGGATGTCTTCAATCTACAATGATAACGAGCATGATTTCCATTGTGGCGGCTCGATACCTTTTATGGCACCAGAAATAATTTGCAATAGACTTGTTGACCCTTTGAAGGCGGATATATGGTCAATCGGCGTAACATTTTTCATGCTTGCCACAGGTCGATTACCATGGCCAGGAAAAGATCGACATACTCTTTGTCAAAACTCAATGACAAAGGCTCCTTGCCTCGAATATATTAAAGATCAAGCTTATGCTCAAATTATTAAAGTTTGCTTAAATCTCGATCCGGATTGTCGACCAACCATCGAAGATCTTTTAGATTTACCGATGTTTCATGAAACATCTGCTACTATTATTAAGAGAAGGGAAAATATTAATTTACAAATGGCAAATAGAAGGAAGATTTCAGCTCATCGATCGATGATGATCTGTAAGCCAAGAATTAACTCATGCAGAATTCAGCTTTAACATATTTATATTTATTTTGTAGCTTTTATTTTGTTTATAAACATGTTATTATTATTGAGTAATATTATCTTCATATTTTATACTATTATCTCAATATATTTTAATTTACCTTTTCAATGTGATTCTATCTGTCCCTTTAAATGCATACATACCCTTTACATTTTTTTTTCATAGTTAATCAAATAAGGGGTATAATATAAACTTATCCAAAATTAAAGTACAATACGATATAAAGTGTGTAGCATCTTCAAACATCTTAAATTTAAAAAATAGATTCAAAACAAGCAATTTACCTTCCAAACTTATTAAAAACAAAAAAAACTAATATGCAAATCAATTTCCATATTTATGAAATTATATTAGTATTAATTTTTCATCATGTAATCAAATACTTTATCCATTTTTCATTTGAATGCAATTTGGGATGTAGGGTTTGCATTTTATATTCTGAATTAGTCACATGTCTTAAGGTTTGACAACTTATTCTTTGATGTGATTTAAGATTTTTACTATTTGCAATATAAGCACTTATTGCCTCACATTTGATTTAAAAGTGACACAGAAAAGGAATAATTTTCTGTTATTTCCAATCAATGAAAGTACTACAAGAATAAATCACCTAGATGCTGGAAATCAAATAATTATTTGCATCATGAACGTAAATTTTAACTAGCATCTAGTAGATTTGGCTCAAAAGAGAAGAATGGGAACAATAGAAAGAATAATAAAGGTGTTTTTGCTATAAATTTTAAATTCAAAAGAGTTTTTTTTATTATCAATCTCGAACCCAAGCGCAATATTAAATAATAGTATGATAAAATGCTTCCTTCTATAGATTCAAGATCCGTCACGTTTTCATATTTTTATATTCAAACAAAATTGTCATTTGCCATTTTTGAAAAATTTTTTTTTCATTTAAAACATTCTTATAATTGATTTTATGCGAATTTCATCGGATTTCAAATTGAGATGATTCTGAAAGTTATCATTTATGGACTTCTTATTAGCATTGCAGTCATTCCCACTAACACTGAAGTACCTCTTTGGCCATAGAAATGAGTATACTCCAGAATCAAACTATGATGAGTTTATGCCAATTAATGGAGCAATCTTTCCATTGTATCCTGAAACATTTTCTCTTAACAAAGCTCACCGTTCAATAAAACATTGCCCAATGAAATTGCAAAACTGCACACATAAATTTAAATCCCCAATAAGGTGTTGCCATCATAATCAGAGACGCCATCGTTTCTTAACAAGAAGACCTTGCCATTTAACATCCTCACATTGTTTTCCAATAAGGCGTCGCTTTCTTCCACATAAACATCCACAATTTAAAAGATTCATGAAGCCAAGGTTCCAAATGTTCAGAGAACATATGCCAAGAATTGGAAGACCATATCATATGACTTCATGTCCATATCTCAAATGGATCGCTAAAGCTTAGGCACGAAACAATGAGATAAAATAAATTTTATAAAATTTATTTTCTTTACTTTCAATATCATTTTAATTAGTAATATATTCTTTTGTAATTCTTGTGCAGTAGTCCCACACTGTCTGTTCGCCTTCCTCTGTATAATATTTTTCAGAGAGACGCTCTTCGCCTTTGGGACCAAAGTATTTTCCTGTGACACCTTCAAGATCTTTCGATGTTGCACATGAGTTAGTATGGTTAAGTCGTGTACTGAGGCACTGCGCGCCTCCGTACACCACTTAACCTTAAATATTTACAAAACCATTAACATATATTTTTACAACACAAACGACAACACTAACTTAACATTAAATATTTACAAAGCCGCCAACCACTTCACTTCACTAACGTTTTCACAAACGACTTCATTAATGTAAAAAATAAGCGCTCTCACTTACAAAAGTATTGCAACTCCTCCCATTGCTGTGCTTCACATAACAGCTCATAATCTTCTGACTCACTTTCTTCTTCATATAGGTCAAAATCACTGTCAAAATGAATGTTAGTAAGTTTTGACAAAGCTAATGAAACACGTTTACCGTTTGTATCGTATGCTTGTATAAACTTTCCATTCTTCATTCCTTCATAAACGCTCAAACTAACTTTACCCTTTCTCCCTCGTATCTGATAGAATGTATTTTCACGAGGAACGAAGAACAAATTCTTGAACTCATGACCGTTGTAGTTTGTTATCTCAATAGTTTTCGTCATTTACATCCAAATAAAATAAAAAATAAACTTAAAAAATAATGATATCACCACCCTCACACGTATGAAAACATAGCACAAAAATAAATTTAGGTGAAGTGGTGAGATCTCACCTGTTTTCTCACCTGTTTTTTCACCCTGTTGAATTCATTGCTTTATAACTCTCTTCCTTGGTTTCTTTTTAGTTGCTTTCTTCACGTCTGTCTCCAACTTGACTATCTTTCTTCTTCGGCCGTAATGATACCAGTTACTTCCACCAGTCAATGGGTCAAATGGTCTTTCGTAAGGGTTTCCATACATTCCATAGGGACCATACGGAAGAACTACTGGTGGAGAAGAAACATTTTCTTTAGTTCCATCGACTCTATTTAAATGCATTGTTTCACCTTTCATCTGGTCATTAAAGTCTTTTGCGTGTTTTGCAAACTCATCGTCCTTTCCTAAAGCATTTTCTGACTCAGTCGCAACCAAATTGGATGCTTTATTTATGAGCCCTATTTTATTTAATCTTAACTTCTTTGCAACCCAGCCTCCAATCTTCCCTTTATTTGCATCTAATGTCTTCGAAAACCTTCCTCCACTCATTTTATTTACTGCGTCATAAGCTCCAAGTGCTTTTGCTCCAAATGCTAATGCTTTTGTTCCCATTGCGCCTAAAGCTGCCCAAGCTACCATTTACACCATATTAAAATCATCTCTCTTCAATATTATCTCATAAAAGTTCTCGTTACTGGAGAAAGTCAATGAAACATAAGCGTTCTCACGGGCTTCGCCCTCACCGCTTTGCGGTCTATCTAACTTCTTTCTTATATCATCTATACGCTTCAAAATATCTGAACAATTGCTAACATCTTCTACAACTGTTATTTCATCATGAACGACCTTCAAGAACAAGCTCATTTAATATGCTATTAAAATCATCTCAATAATGAGTCCATCCTTTCCATCTTTAGGTAGCACAACATCTTTCATTGAAGAAGGTTCGACAAGTCTTATGTTAAACTTACTGACAAAGTTTGTTATACTATAATGCTTCGGCGGCGAATACATGTAGTTTGAAAGACATAATATAGATTCTTCAGCAAATTCACTTATACTGGATTTTATAACAATGTTTTCACGAGACCAAATACCACCAATTGACAATCTTGTAAGCAATCCTGCTGAACCTTCTACTGTAAACGTCGATGGTAACATTCCACGAAGGTCATCTATTGACATCTTTGAGTCACTGAATTTAAAGATTTTCTTAAAGCAATCGTCATTATCTAACCATGCAATAGCATTGAAGTTTTCATTCGAATATACATCTGCTTCATTAAATGTAAATCCTGACTTCTTTGCAGAGATGACTTTAAAATCTATTGAGTTTGTTTCAAAATTATATGCTATGGTAACTTCTGAAGGTAATGGATGCCCTTCCGCAGTCAGTTGTTCTCTCACTACCGTTTGAAGCTTTGTATTAAAAACTTTCATGTCATCTCCTGTATCTAAGTTCACATACACAGCAACAGGAAAACTATCTTGCTTCTTTGTTTCATCATTATACCTCAAAACATTAAAGTTCTTCAATAATATTGTCCTTCCTGCTGGAATACTTCGAACCTGTCTGATTTCAATAGCTTTCTCACCTCCTACATACTCTACCCAGTGTCTTGGATATTCATAAGTATACTGACTTTCTTGAATTTTGGTTGGTTTCATCATAACGTGTTCATAGTATATCTTTATACTCTTGTCAGTTAGACTCGGTGCTATGTTCTGAATATTTCTGACTTGCATTTTTAATGGAGATAAAATGAAGCATTTAATACATGACGTAGATGAAGACATGAATGAAACTACAGACAAACTTAACTCTTCTCTCATTCTTCCTTTCAGCAAAGATTATGAATTCTGTTCAAATGGTGTGTATTTCTATTGTGGAAAGATGGGTTCAGGTAAGACATTTAACCTCATTCGTCATATACTCATAACAGAGCGTTTAGGAAACGACTCTTACTATGACCAAATCATTATATCAGCAACTTCAGACTCTATGGACTCAACAGCGAAAACATTCATGTCAAAAGTTCAAGCCTCTATCGTTAAAGTTCCAGACAGTGAACTCATTGAATTTCTTCAACGTTACATTCGACGTAAGAGGAAATATTATGCCATCGTTGAATTTATACAGTCAGGAATGCAAAAGACTTCTGAGGAGATGGAAAGAATTATTGACAAACACCACTTACGTCAATACTCAGGAGTTTACGATATGAAACGACTGACAAACTACATTCTATCAAAACTTTCAAAATACCCCTTCAAAAAATATCCTTCAAACACTCTGCTCGTTTGCGACGACTTCGCCGGAAAAGGTTTAGTGTCAAAGCCTGACTCACCATTAGCTAACATCATTACTAAAGTCAGACATTACCATTTAACTGTAGCAATACTTATGCAAACATGGAGGTTTTTAGCTTTAAACATAAAACGTCTCATAACTGACTTCGTTATCTTTCAAGGTTTCTCACGTTATGATATTGAACTCATTTGGAAACAGTCAGGTATAACATTACCTTTTGAAGAAATTTGGGAAGCATATAAGTCTCTCATCTCTCCTCGTTCATACCTTGAGATTCATATCATGACTAATACCATTAAAGTCAAAAATATTCCATGGGAACGACCAACATTGTTTTAAAGTTTAACCTTCAATTGACTGATGGTAAACAAATTCCATGCATCTCTGTCGCCATTTCTGTTAATATTTTTGCTGTCATTCATATCATCCACTTCCCCATCCGTTAGCTTTTGAGGATATGCGTTAGAATAGCTGTTCTTAAATGAAGGCTTTTCACCTTTGAGAGCATAAACTCTATAACTTTCTGCATACTTTATGTTTGAACCTCCTGAGCCATCATTGACATAAATTTTTATAGGCTTCCACCCTTTGTTCATATTCCTGCTTCTTCCCTTAGCTCTTTTGTTCAGTAGTTCTACATCTTTATACACAGCACCTGTCTCAGTGAATTCAACAATATTTTCATTCGTTAGCTTTACATTCAAAACCCTTGTCGAGTATATTGTTCATTTCATACATATAAAAGGTTTTTATTCTATATGAAATGAGAAGCAAATCCATCTTAGCTGGTGCCGTTAATGTTCCAATTGAACCAACATCAAATGTTGACTCACGAACGACAAACAATATTGTCATAAAGAACTATAGTTCAGAGTGTTTGAAAGAAAAAGAACCAGAACTGAAATCCGTGAATTTAAACTCAGCTTCAAACGCTAACGCTACATCAGATGTTAAGTTAGAGTATCCACCACTGGACCAAATTCTTTCAAGAGAAGCCAACGACAACCCTTACACAAATGTTCAAACAAATCCTTCAGATAACGTAGACCATTACCTTCTTCAGTTATACCAAACAATTTTACTCAAAGACGATAAGAAGCTTTTGACAAATCTTATAAGCAAGAACCAAATAATTCTAACAAAGGAGGACCTTGAAAATGTTATATCACGAATAACAGGGAAACAATGTGTCATTGACTATCTCGACCCTGAAATCGAATGCTGTGGTCAAACGCCACCATTCATGAAAATAGGTAACATCCGCATCATTGAAACACCAGGTACTCCAGGAGTTGAGTTTAAGTATAAATATTCGAACGAGTATACAAAACTTTCAACAGAATATAAACTTTGTTTGAAATATGTTTTAGTAAATTAAAGCAGTCAGGAGGGCTCTTTGAGCCCATCTTGGCGCTTTGCGCCGTCAGTCAAAAAATTTCAAGTTAGCAATTTGTAATATCTATCCAAAACTTCTTCAACAGTATCGAACTCATCTTCATAATGCAAACCTAATCTTATTGACTTGGTGCAGTTTTCACTAACACAATATTTTTCTGTTCTCTTGACTGACATAACTAACTCATTTGTTTCATCAAACAGCAACAACCAAAGTTCATGACCTAATACATAACATTCATACTTTATATTTTTAGCTCTGAGTTCTCTTGTAAGCTGTTGCATTTAATATTTTCTAAAAAGTCAACTTCAACAGTCATTCGCACTGGTGCCTTCAGTTCTACAGGCTCTCCTTGAAAGTCAACAAGTCTGAATTGCATGTCTTTCAAATTATGAGGACTAATGCGAACCCATTTACCTAAATGAGTTGCTATGACAGGAACGTTTGGAATGAACATTGAATTGACTGCATAACAGAAAGATTTATATTCTACTGAACCTTTACTATTAACTCCTGAAA